ACAGACCTTCCATTGTGCCTCTTGTCATTCGAAAATGACTTTTAAACTCATCGAGTGAATATCCTGGCAATGCGTGTTCAAAATAGCCTTCAGTTCATTGCAAATTCCGTCTCATGAACTTCGATGCCGCTGAAAAGATATCTACTGTATCATCTTCTGAATTAATCAAACTTTCTTCCTCTATAGAGACTTCAAACATTTCGCACAAAAACAACATCTGATGGGCCTCATTGGCCTCCACTTTGAATATTCGCGGAAGATTCAGAGAAGCGAGAGAGAAGGGCCTGTGAACGAATGGGACTTGTGACAAATGGAACGCGCTTTTCCCAAACGGAAATTCCCAATGGGAATTTTCCGAATTTTTTTGTAAATGGAAAACGCCCAATGTACCGAAGTAACATTGGTCTGAACCTTACTCCTGAAACGGTAGTTGCCAGTTTCGCCCCATGACGAGTTCACCCCCACATAGACTCAACTTGATTGAGTTCGCCCCTAACCAGATCGTGTTCGCTCCCACGTCAGTATTCAACTGTTCAATCTTGAATCTTGAATTCTTTTCAATCTTGAATTCTTGAAATGCGAATGGAGGTTAATTAGCATGTTCAAGTCAACCATGTGATGTAATCGGTCAGCCGCTGACTCGACTTACTCAGACTTGCGAACGAAGCCAAATCACACTTTGAACATGAAACCTTGAGCTATCTTTATTCATACTTGCTGTAATAAAACGCTTTAAAAGTAATTCAATAAAAAGTTTAAAACGCAGTTCATACTTTTAAGTGTCGTTTATCTTTCAAGGTCAACCGATCGATCAATGGGCTTTGTTTGACTTTGTTGCTATGCGCTGGCTGCAACAAGCGAACAATCATCAACTGAGCTTATCAACCACACATAGACTGAAATGGTCCTTCGAAAACGTTTAATAACTCGCTATCAACTACATAAACCTTAAATAAAAAATGTTTTAAACTAAGTTCATTCTTAACAATGTGAACGCTATGCACGTGTAATCATCCACATAAATAAACTAAAAAGTTTTTTCATCTACAAACTCTTTGTTTATACTTGCGAACTTGTAAACTATCACTTTTAACATAAAACTCCGCCCAGCGCTAACTGATTGCAACAGATCGTGTGAAAAATGTGCGTCGATGTAAACAATAGGAAACTTGTCCTAATTAAGTTGTATTGTTAAGTTTGGTGTTAATAGCGCGGGTCTGTTATAAATCCACTCACTTTTTTCTATAATGCAGCCAATAAAAACGTGTGATTAACCGAAGCTTACAATTTGGATCCTGGGCCATCTACAAAAGGTTTATCAAATCCACTAATCGTTCATATCAGCTATTACAGCTCACAGGACAACTTCAGTCTATTTCGCTTCATCGTTCCAAACAGTTTTTTAACAACTACATCATGAATCCTTGCATTGTATGTGAACTTACCGTTCGCCCTCGCCAACAAGCGTCGCTTCACGATAGCTGTCAAAGATGGCAACATCGGACGTGCAACACTGGTATTGGTCAAGATGACTACCGTGAGGCAGTCCGGCTGGATCAATCGATAAATTGGCGCTGTTATTCGTGCGAAGACGTCGAGGAGCCGTCAGTCCCAATCCTGAGCAGCACCCACCTGCATGCAGACCGAGAGTCAACACCACTGCTGTTCAGTGATCACAGCTTCCAATCTGATTTAAGTCAGTCTATGGTGCGTATACGTTGAATCAGCTTAGTAAGATTGTCAAATCTACCTCCGTCTAAACAACAACCCCTATAATGAAGTTTGCCATGATTTTTTGTTCCAACTATCATCATTTTTCTCTCGATCTTAGGAGACTTCAATTAACGTCATGCCTGCCGGTGATGAATCTTCAATAGCCGAACCCCCTCCAGCAGACGAGGAGCTGTCCAGTTTCAGCCTCCAGTTCGAGATTGTGGAAGATTCCACAAAGCGAGGGAGAAACAAACTGGTGGACAACCGTGGCTACACCTACAACGTCAAGAGGCGTCGCGGGAACAATACTGACTGGCAGCTAACTAAGTAACTTGCCTGGGAGCCTTTGCATTTTTTTCCGTATCAGTCACAGGACCATAAGCGTGGCCTGACGACTCAGCACTAGTGTTACTTAAACACATGAAATAGCTCT